TAGAGCTGACTAGGCCTGTCTACGGCCATCTAAAGCTACGCCTATCTACGGATGTCTAAAGCTACACCTGACTTCGGGTCACTAGGCCTGTCTATGGCTGTATAAAGCTAGGCCTGTCTATGGCTGTCTAGGACTATGTACAGCTGAATAGGCCTGTCTACAGCTGCCTAAATCTATGCCTGTCTAGGGCTGACTATGCCTGTCTACGGCTGTCCGAAGCTACGCCTCTCTATGGCTGTCTATAAGATAGGTCTGTCTTTGGTTGATTAGTATTGTCTATGGCTGTCAAAAGCTACGCCTGTCTATGGCTGTCAAAAGCTACGCCTGTCTATGGCTGTCAAAAGCTACGCCTGTCTATGGCTGTCAAAAGCTACGCCCGCCTAGGGCCAACTAGGCCTGTTTAGGGCTGTTTAAAGCTACACCTTTCTAGGGCTGTCTAGGCCTGTCTATGACTGCCCAAAGCTACGCCTGTCTACAGCTGTCTAGGTAGATGTACAGCTGACTAGGCCTGTCTACGGTTCTCTAAACCTATGCCTGTCTTTGGCGGTCTAAAGCTAGGCCTGTCTTGGGCTCATTAGTCCTGTCTATGGCTGTCTACAGCTACGCCTGTCTACAGCTGACTAGGCCTGTCTACGGCTGTCTAAAGCTACGCCTGCCTACGGCCGACTAGGCCTGCCTAAAGTTACCCCCCATCTACCGCTGACTAAAGCTATGTCTGTCTACGGCTGTATAAAGCTACGCCTGTCTACAGTTGACTTGGCCTGTCTTGGCTGCCTAAAGCTATGCCTGGCTACGGCCGACTAGGCCTATCTATGGCTCATTAAAGCTATGCCTGTCTAAGGATGACTAGGCCTGTCTACGGATGTCTAAAGCTATACCTGTTTAGGTATGGCTGTCTAAAGCTACGGCTGCCTATGGCTGTCTGAAGTTATGGCCATCTAGGCCGGAATATGACCACCTAACGCTAGCTATAACTGTCTACGGCCACCTAAGGCCATGCCTGCCTAACACCACGCCTGCCTAACGCCGCCTAAAGCTACACCTGACTGAGACTGTGTCAGGATACGAGGCTTACGCTGACTACGCTTGCTTAACGCTGTCTAAAGCTATGACTCACTAAAACTTGTAAAGATCCATCTGACTCTACCTCTCTGAAGTGAATACTTGCTACACCTGTCTAAGGCTGTCTCAAAGCGTGCCCAACTTAGGCTGTCTAAGACTTTGTGTAACTAAATCTTACAGAGAGCGTCTAAGCTACAGCACACTTTGAATCACAACGATTATCTATAAGGAAATCTTTCTGAGGTGGACTAAGACAGTTTAAGACAAAGGCCAACTACTACCCTCTTAGTCCGACTAGGCCTAATTATTCCTACTAGTGCTAGTCCACTAAACCCAACTATATTATCTAAGTGCATGGCTAAGTAAGGCATCCCAGTGGAGCAGGCATGCAATCACTAAGCACACAGTTAAGGCTTTTATTACTCCCCTCCTGCATGAGGCTTCCCCACTTCCCTCAAAGAAGGAAGGTAAAGAGGACATTTCCGGCATCCTTGAGCACTGGTCCATGACAAGGAGGTTTGGGAGCTGAAAAATCTGTGTCCATGTATAAATACTAAACATGCAATTGTCCCATATTACAAGTTAATTGGTCCTCCAAGCACTTGAACAGCACATAAGCATCAGGTGGTATGGTTTATCACAACAAGCAGAGTCTGTGCCCATGATGTACATGACACCGGCTTAGGCAGAGCATGCAGTAAAGTACTGTTAGGTCAGTGCACCTCTATCACCTGTCCAATCCTTAACTCGTCTCCTCCATATTCTTCCACATCCAATTCCATACACTGTCTAAGGAAAGACCACCTCTAAGTTTTGCTAGGGCCTCATACTTATTGAGTAACAGGACCTGGGTAGGCCAGGTGCACCAGAAGGGTATTTACCTGCCACAGCAAGCAGGAATCTGTTTCCATACCTGCTCAGAATGAGATAGAGTTTATTTCACACGTGTTGGCCAGATTACAAGTTCAGCCTTCTGAAGGCTGCCTTCTTTTCTACAGCCACTTCTATTGCTGCTTGGATTTTTCCCTTTCCAACTCTGCCAATAATCAACATTTCAGGGATCTTCACTCGCGTTCATCATGCGCTACCCTAGTGCCTATTACTTCATTTATGCATAATTGGATTTTCTACAACAAAGAGCTGCAAAGGAACTACTTTTTATCATCTGTTGCACGGAACACCTACTTTTAATGGACTATCACAGCACTGACATACCCGCTGTAGTGGCAAAAGGCAGGCAAACTGTAAGAATTTTCATGATAAACTGCAACATCTTCAGTACCTTCACACGTTATGTGTTTCATATGATGATTCATTTTGTATCTGTAGGAGTTCAGAAGCACACTGGATCTTGCATTGGCTGGTGATCTTTTTATATGCTACAAAATGCTCCTAACAAGAAGAGACGAGACAAATACTTGGAATTTGCTTTCCTAATTGCCATAGCCCATCAGAATTTCCTTCAAGATGGCATAGGACAGCAGATCTACCACAGCAAGTCTATTTAAGCCTATCTGGCATTTAACCAGGAGTTAGTCATTCAGTAGTGCTGTACCCAAACTGCCCCACCCTGAAGGCAACTGCATCTGCACTTCAAATCTTGACTCCCAAGAAGCCACCACAGGGACCATAAGGCAATAGGCAACTTCTCACCGAGTCAGCAGGTGGTGCTACCTCACCAGAAGATACATGCTGGAAACACCCAACAGGGCCAAGGAGGAGCCATCTGTAGAGTTACAGAGTAGGTCTATGGCAAGGGAGTTGCTCAAAACAAACAAACAAAAGAAAGAACAAGAAAAGTCCAGGCCTGATCGTAACAAATGTCACTGAGCCTTTGCATGCCACACTGTAGTAAGGGCACTGTTACAATTCATCAGCTCAGACAAAAACTGACGATTTACTTGGAAATCAGGGGAAGGGATCTGCCCACTTGTTTTAAGAGAAGGAAAAGAACTGCAAGCAGTCCCACTGACTTGGTCCATTGTCATCATCTCAACCGGTATTGTCAAGAACTTCTTGTCCCATCAGTTGCCAGGCAGCAATTTGCTACCTCTGGGTAGTCCACACCAACCTCTAGCAGCGGATGCTACTGTCAGCCCCTACAAGCACTTTTAAGATCTAAGTAGAGAAAGGCACTACCCAGCCACATGGTTTGTGTGGCTTCAGACATACTATAACGTTAGGCAGAGCTTACTTGGGCAGACTTGCACACTCCTACACAGCCAGAAATGCCCACATGGCATTAGAAAAGATTCTCTCAGCTGGAGAACAGTAAGAATTACAAGTGCAGTTCTGTTCTGAATATTCTTTGGTGCCAGGAAACAGCTATACAGCAAACAAATGTGAAAGGTCATTCATTGGGATTATAGAGCCTGACAGTCATTCATGTTTTTCCTTCTGCCTTGCATAGTATCATATCCATATTAAATCAAGCAGTTCGAAGTGCTTCTTAACAGAAGAAATCATTGCCTAGTCCCCCATTAACTAGTTATATAGAACAATATTTGCCCTCACCAATTAGTTAACAATAGCCCCTGTATTTAACTCAAAAAAGGTAAATCAAATAAGCACTTCTGCAAGCAGCAACAGGTTTCTCCTCACAGGTCTGCTTTCAGCTTGAGCAAAATCCTCTGCTGCAACAAGTTTTTCAGCAGACAGCCACTAGAAATCAGCAGGAGCCTCTAGACAACATGTGAAGGTCAACACACATCACCCACGTTTTCTTGGTGCATCTTTTGTATATCTTCTTAAATGAGATTATCCTCCCTTTAACCAGGGTGGAGGACCATTTGCATTTCTCTAGGAGGCATTTTCTGTATGCACTCACTACTAGTAAACAGCTTTGGATATTAACACTGTTAGTTTATTTTTGTCCTCAAAACCCATGAGGAGAGATGGCCTTGCTCGCAAGGGAGCCAAGGAAGGTGGCTTTGTAGTCAGCTCCCAAAATGAAAAGGGGATTTTCAAAAACAAATTCTATATCAAGGTTCATATGGCTTACAAGTTTTCCTCATACCCCTTCCTTGATCTTAATCCAACACGTATTAAGGAAGCAAGTCATGTTTCTGCAGTAATAGAAACTGTCAGTTCTACTTACGTATTCACTACAGCTAATTGGGTTCAACCAGTTGGAAATCTGTCAATAAGACAATCTGAATTCATCTATTGAACAAAATGCATAACAGTATGTTTTCATTTGGCTTACTAACACAGTGTTATATCATTTGATTTACTTCATTAGGATGACAAGAGCAGAGTCATACAAAATTGTCAAGAAAAAATCTATAGGAAATACACAGTTAGGTAGTGTTAACTAGTCCAGCTACAGCATAAAAATGCCTAAGAAATGCCAGGGACACTACAAGGAAAGAAATCCCAAAGCTATTATTTTTCACTCCACTGCTGAGAAACTGGATGACCATTAAGAAAAAGTTGTTCCAAGGCCCATCATGTTAAGGGATTACACCTGACTGCAGCTAACTTGGGTCTAGAATGTAACAGTAGTCCAAATTCCCTCTTTCCTAACTCTTGGGAAAAACAAACTTTGATATCAGGAGTGAGTGAATGAATGGACATCTAGAGGCTTTTTTAAAGCAAGCCTTTTGCCAATACATAAAACTTCTTGTAGATCGCTTGTGTTTGGGCTATTGTTCCTTTCTCCTGAAAGGCAGATCTTGGATTTTGCACCCAGAAAACCAGAAAATTCTCCTGTCTGGATTTCTTTATTGTTAGATTGGGAGAGCATTGGAATAGGCTGCTCAGAGGGGTGGAGTTTCCTTCCCTGGAGATCTTCAAAACCCACCTGGATATCATCTCGTGTAACACACACTAGGCTTTCCTGCTTGAGCAGAGCAGCTGGACTAGATCATCTCCAAGGGCCCTTCCAGCCTCAACCATTCTGTGATTCTTCTTTTTCTTATAGGCAAACTTCCGATGGGCTTACCACCTCAGCAAGGTAGCTTCACAGGTTGTCCAGACTAGGGTTATTAGGCTCTGAGGTACTTCATGATGTTTGTTGACTGCATTTGTGCAAGTTGATCTAACACATCAGGCAATGTAGTTAGCTTTTAAATAAGCATCAGTTATATGCCATAAAGTTCTTTTTCATTGAAGAAATTCTTTGCAATGCCTGCTTTAAGTGTACCATCGATACATAAAATGATCATTTCCAGTACTCAAAATACTGGCAATCAAAGGGTAAACCAAGTTCATATACTTGTGAAGTCAAAATCTATGAAGTGACTGACTGGACTTCCTGAATAAGAAACACAAATTCCAAATTCCTCAATATTTAAGTGTACTAACGATACTAAATTCTCCCAGGAAAATAGAGCTCCCTCCATTAAAAATAGAAACAAATCATGTTAACAGTTTACAAAAGATTAAGCTGTAAGCTCCTCAATGGCAGCTGTACTCCAGCTAAAATTTTATTTCCATCAAAAGTAGTACCTGGTATTATATCAGCAGCAGTCAGTTTCTTAGTGTTTCACTAGGTTTTTTTGTTGTTGTTGTTGGCTTGTTTGTTTTTTTGCTACCCATAAGAGATGACTGAGAAGCTTACACTTACCTTAAAATACAGGAAGAGCAGGTTATTCCAGAAAGAGCAAGTCATGACTTCTTAATAACAACCAGCAATTATAGGCCTTCAGCAACAAGAGACTCAGACTTATAGCACCTAGAAAGACAACCACAACAGATCCAATGAGATCAACCAAGGTCAGTCACAACATTATGCTCCCCCACTGATCCACTATTATAAAAAAAATAAAAATAAAAAGCCTGAGGTCTAAACAAGTCATTCAGAAAATAACTCCCACAAACACGACACAGAGAGACCAAACAGCACAAACCCAAGTCTGGGCTTAAAGAGAGCTCATGGGTGCATGTCAGAGATCCCAGAGGTCAGGGCAATTAAGACCACTTAACACCCTCACAGCCCTATCAATTTAAATACCAGGTGTGTAGTATAGGTGTTTTTCTGGGTAGTTTTTTTTTTTTTTTTTTTTTTTTTTTTTTTTTTTTTTTTTTTTTTTTATCTCTGTACAAATATAGAAACTCACATGTGCGAGCCACCTGAGCAGTATAGAAACTCTCTGTGTCTGCAATAGCTGTAGCACAGTTGTTTTGTATTTCTCCAGGTCTCAGTTGAAAGGTAGCCTAGAAACACAGCATTTTTCTAGGTCCTAGTAGTGTAACACTGCAATATTCTAGGAAAGAAACTATAACAGGACTAAATGGATTGCAAGCCAGACGAAAAGAATGAGATTTGTCTTTGCAAGATTTAGTGGTGATCTTTAGTGCCTGTCAAGTTTCAACTTCCTTGTAGTACCTTCAGATCTTCACTATGTTACTACCTATATGGAGGATTTTTTTCCAAAGGTCCTCAGAGGACTCAATTCCCATGGAATTTAATTGAATAGTCAAATATCCAGCTACATTTGTAAATACTATCTTAATGTTTTGTCCAAATATAGATATTTCTCAGCTATAAGAACAGTAAGACTTTCTCAGTTTGTGAACAGAAGTTATTCTATTCAAATCACACATGTAGTTTCCTGGAATGGGAGAGGGTATACTGGAATTCCATTTATACTGGAATGGGAGAGGGCTGTGCTGCCATCCAGAGGGACCTGGACAGACTGGACGACTGGGCGGCGAGAAACCTCATGAGGTTCAACAGGGGCAAGTGCAGGGTCCTGCACTTGGGGAGGAATAACCCTGGACACCAGTACAGATTAGGGGTGGACCTGCTGGAGAGCAGCCCCGCAGAGAGGGACCTGGGTGTCGTGGTGGACGACAAGTTGACCATGAGGCAGCAGTGTGCCCTGGTGGCCAAGAAGGCCAACGGGATCCTGGGGTGCATTAAGAAAAGCGTCTCCAGCAGGTCGAGGGAAGTGATCATCCCCCTCTACTCAGCCCTGGTGAGGCCACATCTGGAGTACTGCGTCCAGTTCTGGGCTCCCCAGTACAAGAGGGATGTGGAGCTGCTGGAGAGAGTCCAGCGCAGGGCTACCAGGATGATCAGGGGCCTGGAACATCTGCCCTATGAGCAAAGGCTGAGAGAGCTGGGTCTGTTCAGCCTGGAGAAGAGGAGGCTGAGGGGGGACCTGATCAGCATGTATAAATACCTCAAGGGAGGCAGTGAGGAGGAGGGGGGCGGCCTCTTTTCAGTGGTGGGCAGGGATAGGACTAGAGGAAATGGCTTCAAACTGAAGCATCGGAAGTTCCACAGGAACTTAAGGAAGCATTTCTTCACTGTGAGGGTGACAAAGCACTGGCACAGGCTGCCCAGAGGGGTTGCGGAGTCTCCTCCTTTGGAGATCTTTAAAACCCGCTTGGACGCAGCCCTGTGCCACGTGCTCTAGGTGACCCTGCGTGAGCAGGGAGGTTGGACTCGATGACCTCTGAGGTCCCTTCCAACCTTCGGCAGTCTATGATTCTATGATTCTATACAACCTTGTGCAGTTATAAAAAGACAAAATGTGCACATAAAGACCAGCCAGAAATAGAGTTGTCAGAAGATAATGTCTACAGAATTCTGTTTAAATGCACAAATGTTTCTATAAAATTCAAGTCTCATTCATGTACATCATCTGCTGGTGCAAGGATTACATCAGAGAAACAGAAGAAAACCATCTACAGAGTTTCTCTTTCATCTTCTTGCTTTAGCTACGTAGAGTGTTTTTGACCTTTCATCAAAGAGGGCAAAGTTTGCTTAGTATCGCAAAGCAAGAGAGGGACAATAATTACAACAGCAAAAACAGATAAAGGGAAGACACATAATGTTCTGCTCCAAGATTTACAGGTGCTTTGTACAGAACGTGTCCTCTCTTTGCTGTCCTAAAAGCAGAGCAAAGGTGATGGGGCCTGTAGATGTAAAAAAGAGTAAGGAAGTTTGTCTAGCTGAAAGGCGAACTGAGATTTAAACCATTCGCCTTGTCATGCTCTGAGTTCTCTCTCCATGGATGCAGAGGAGTTGGCACAGCATGGGTGGGCTTCCTTTTGCCTCCTAGGTTTGTCTGTTTATAATAGATGCTATGGCCTTACCCTTAATAAATTCTGGATGGCTGTAGGGAAGGTGGATGGATGGCAGAGACCCTTCCACGGAGCTCAAGAAACTGCCCGCAGCACTGAGAGTTAGAGCAGGGTGTTATGCACAGGCACAGGGCGATGGCTGCTTGAGCAGTTTGTAGCACAGTCACAGGCAGCAGCAGTCAACTGAGGTTGCTCTGGCTGTGGAAAGGCACCTCGCAAACATACAAACTGTGGGAAGGCATCTCTGTCAAACACGAGCTAAGCACACTCAGGTAACTGTTACTTTGTGAGGATTAAGTACTTACTTCTGAGTAAGTACTTCTGAGTACATACAGATTTGCTCAGGTCCTTGATCAAATATAGTTCCTATACATAAACTAACAGCTACCCAAAAAGTAACTGCCCCTTATCAGTTCTGATAGATCAGCAAACCTTTTCTGGGCTTGCTGGCTTCACTGGCTCCCTGAAATCCCCCTTTACCTCTGTTTTTATGTAGGGGAAGTGACTCATAATGTTGTTTCATTTCCCTTTTCTAAAAGGAGAATACTTGTCAATATTTAAGCAGTTTGATATGTCCTGCATAACTCCAGCTGGCTGACAACTTTGCAACAAAGCATTTTATTCATTGCAAAACACAGCTAAATGGAAAGAAACCTTTTCTGCAGGAGGCCCTCTGTTTTAACAAGGGGAGGAAGAGGCATTTTCTCTTTCCCAAAAGAAAATAATTTGATCTGGCAATTGGGACCATTTCTGTACTTTGTTTCATTGTAAATTAGAGGATGTTAACAAAGCAGAATCTGGAGGAGATACTTGAGCGTTAGCAAGAGACGGTGTTTTAGTGCTCCCTCACGTGTTTTTTTCCTCCTGCCCTGGGCCAGCCTGTGAAGAAGCCAGTTATGTAGTGACTGGCCTGCTAGCTTAACTGCCTGCCCCTGCGCTGTGTAAACGCCTCATTATCTCTGTGCTTTCTTCCAAGTGACAGACAAAATAAAGATGTGCATGCAGTCACTATGGCTGCCTTCTCAATTGCTCTAAATGATTGGGAAAGTCCCCGGATATCATTTCCCCTTCTCCAAAGGCAATTTATAGGAGAAAGCAAACAAAGGAAAAGATGCAGGCAGCATGCTGTCTTCCATGCTGTGTCCATAGAGACTGCCTAGGCCCCTTCTGGTTGCATACGGTGCTGTTTTGTTTTGGCTAAACTCCTGAACTTCTTCTGAATGCCAAATCACTTCCCCTGAGCTGTGTAAAATTCTTCAGTGCTCTAGGAGGCATGCATTTTCCAGCGCTGGTGGCACATATCCTAGCCTGTCTAAAGGCTCAGAAGATGGTAGCAATGAAGTGCATGGGAAGGACCTTTTTGCAGGAATCCCGCTCTGGCTGTGCGGAGTCACTTGTCAAGGACAATAGCTGTTGGCAGAGCACTAATATGACAGAATCAGGAGTGCTGCCAGTGAAAGCAAACTCCTTTGTGGCTTATGCAATGTTGTGCTAGCCTGTCAGATTCAGATGAACATTGATGGCCATCTGAAAACTGCCTTTGAGCATCATTAAAAAAAAAAAAAAAAAAAAAAAAAAGGCTATTCAGGGGTAAGGGACCTTGCTGTGCACTCACAGCCACAAAATCAGGTTGAGAGTTTGTGTGTGTGTGTGTGTGTCCTGGAGAGGCTTTGCACTGCAGACAACAGTGGTTTATTCTGCTGAGGTTACAGTGAAGTCTTCTGCAGAATTTAGAGCGAAGTCTTTACGAGTCTTCTAAGAAAACTCCAGGATCACAGAGACTGAATGAAACAGTCTTTCAACTTCAGATCTTTTGATTACAGGGCCATATTTGTACTTGAAATTCTGCTTCTTTGTGGTAGCTGAGGTCATAGGATTAGCTAAATTAGATGTAAGAAGTTGACTTGGTTTTGCACAAGACATCTTGTGGTATTTAGCAAACTAAATGGACAGTTGAGACTGAGGTCTGTGAAGTTTCAATTATTTCTTCAAGTGTTTGAATTAGGAAAAACAGTGCTTATTGATTCTTACCCTGTCATTCATTCATGGGAAATACTGTAGCCTGTGAATGCTTGGAGAAAGGCAGAAAGAAATGATTTTAATTCACAGAGGGAAAGAGCTGTGTGGCTGTGACCATGCCAAGCTGTCAGTGACATCTGTGACCTTTCTCACTTGCCATCACAAGTTGATGTATAAGAATTGCTTTTATGGCTAGACTTTTACCACTTCTAACCCTTCTTCTCAGTTTGCTCACAGTTTCGTCTCAAAGTCATTAAAATAGAGCCTGTTTCTCTGGCACTAAATTAAGATAAGCCAAAGGAATGCAATTTTAATTCCACAGGAGAACTTCCACACATATATAGCATGATATAATCAGTGCATTTTATATTAGTGCCCTTAGGTTGGATGAGTCTGTCTGAGTGTCCTGGGGAAACGGAACTGCTAGTGAAACCAAGTGTGAGCTGTGCCTTGTAAGGGTGCCGCTGTAAAGCACCCCCCCTCAAGCACCCCGACAGGCAAAGGGTGCCCCGTGATTTAGACAGTCACTTTCATAACCGGCCTAAGTGCTTCCCACTTTGCTGAAGTGCATATACCACAGAAGATTTATGGGCATGCCCCGTGCTCTTCTGGAAACTGTGTGAGGGATGACACTTGTAAACTACCCATGTAAAGTGAAAAAACGTGTGCTCAGACCCAGCTCTCAGAAGGCCAGACCTGGTTCTTGAGGCAGTTGCTTGTACAAGCTGCACTGTTGCTCGTACAGCAAGCTGCATTAAGTCGTGGTCTGATCTTTGGACAAAGTGCAATGGTTGATAGGCTGCAGAACATAAGCTTTATGTCGCCGACTCAGCAGAAAGTTGTCTTTCACCTCTCTCT